GCAGAGAGGAAAGTATTACATCTGTGGGCATAATGGTAAGAATATAAGGTTAAAAAGGTAAAAAAGAACCATACGGAGAAAATGTGTCATAAAGGCACAATTTTATATGACGCTCACAAAATGGTTTGGTCACTTCTAGTCAGAACCCCAATAACTTGCCAAAGGTTTTCTCTAGTCACAGATTAGACATATTTTTCTCAAACTTATCTTTTTGTTTCCTAAGGCAGTAATAGTTTAAAATCCATATATGGAAATAAATAGACTCTATATGTGCAGATTATATTTTAGGCCAAATTAGTCATGGTGAAAAACTAGTTATTTAACGCCTCTACTGTGGTGAACTGCTTGGGGGGAATATTCTGCTATGGATCCTCAGGGCTCCTTCATGCACGGCTCTTGACCTAGGCTTGGCTCCTGCTTCTGATATCCTGTGCTCCAGACTTTAATTCTGATGTACCCCAGAGCCTGACCTCTAAATTCCTGGCCTTGATGGATAGAAATCCTGACCCTAATTGCTTGTTTTGTTTGATAATTTGAATTTAGCATTCGTTTTCTTAAACTGAACTCTGTTTCCTATTAACTCTGCATGATGATTTGAAATTATTTAATACTGGTCTTTAACTTTGTATGGACATTTACATGAGATCCACAAAATCAGAAGATATACAATATTAAAGGAATTCTATAGTTTTGTTCAACAGTTTACTGGCAGCTGTTTTAGAGAACACTGCAAAATGAATTGACAAGTGACTTAAAAACACTGGTCTACAAAGCATGTATTTGTAGTACCAAAGGCACTTTATCATTACTACACGTGGTATCTTCAAGTTAGTATGCAATACTGATACGGTTTGGCTCTGTGTCCCCACCCAAATCTCATCTTGAGTTGTAATCTCCACATGTTGAGGGAGGGACCTGTAGTCCCCATGTGTTGAAGGAGGGAGGTGATTGGATCATGGGTGCGGTTTCACCCATGCTGTTCTTGTGATAGTGAGTTCTCAGGAGACCTAATGGTTTTATAAGTGGTTGGAAGTTCTTCCTTCTCTCATGTTGCCTTGTGAAGAAGGTGCTTGCTTCCCCTTTGCCTTCTACCATGATTGTAAGTTTCCTGAGGCCTCCCCAGCCATAAGAAAGTGTGAGTCAATTAAACCTCTTTCCTTTATATAAATTACCCAGTCTCAGGAAAATTCTCTGTAGCAGTGTGAAAATAGACTAATGCAAATAACATTAAAATCAGGCTGTCTTTCTATAGCTCACAATTCTTAACACCTGGAAATTTCCAGATTATTCCATTTCTGAAATCCTATAAATATCCACTTTTTATAAATACTCAAAAAGAAATTTAATAAAAAAAGAATAAAATACAGTTTATATAACTTAAGCAGGTTTTGTCATGAAAGTTGGCACTGAAGGAACAATGTTATTAACATCACAAAGAATTTGGGGAAAAGAAAGATTTGACCAATTACTTTCATGTATCTCAAAAGAAATAGACTCAGGATTTTTAAAGTCGTTAAATGTATATAGCTGCAATACTAAATATTTAAGCACAGTGAATTTAAAAAATTATTTTATGTATATATTTTTTCTTTTTTCTTTTTCTTTTTTTTTTTTGAGATGGAGTCTCACTCTATTGCCCAGGCTACACTGCAAAGCATGATCTTGGCTCACTGAAACCTCTGCCTCCCAGGTTCAAGTGATTCTTCTGCCTCAGCCTCCCTAGTAGCTGGGACTACAGGTATGCGCCACCATGCCCTGCTAATTTTTGTATTTTTAGTAGAGACGAGGCTTCACCATATTGGCCAGGCTGGTCTTGAACTCCTAACCTCATGATCCGCCCGCCTTGGCCTCCCAAAGTGCTGGGATTACACGTGTGAGCCACTGTGCCTGGCCTAAAAATTATTAGTTATAAAGTACCTTTCAGTTTATAGGATATTTCTACAAATAATTATTTTGTCTGCAATGTAAACTCCATGAGAGAAACATTATCATCCCCATTTTATATTTAAATTTTCTTTGATCATCTCATTTCCAGTAGCATTCACCTTTATTCCACTTTGGCCGACTTCCTTCTAAATTTCATCTTGGTGCTTGCCATCACTCAGAACCAATCCTTGAAAGTACTACATTAGAATACTTTACTCGTGATCTACAGTCTCCTATCTTCCCAGGTCTCTTATTCAATCATCCTTATTATATCCATGCTTCAACCCTACTGAAATGTCAAGGCCTTTCCCCCATCTAACAGTCTTTTTATCTTCATTTCCTTCTCTATCCAGCTTAGTGTCATGGTCATCACTTTAACCTTAGCTCTTACCCCATTGTCCTTTCTTTGCACAAACACAATAAAATATCTAACATAGATGAATCCAGCTGTTCACTGTGGCCTTGCCTCTTCCTGAACTGTTGAACTCAAGCTGCTCAGCCAGCATCATGATACATTTACGATATTAATTTCAACTAAATCTGCAGTGTCTGCTGACTGAATCCTTTTATGTTTCATAATCTGTTGGCTCTCTAGTTCTCTACAATAGTTCTTTCAGATCTGTTTTTTTTTTTTTAATTTTCCTCAAACTTCCAATCCTGTTATTTCAAAGAAAAATTGGAGACTATTACATATATTTTTTGTTTTCCTCAAACTTCTGATCTATTGTTTCAAAGAAAAAAATAGAAGCTGTTATGTAACTTTCTGCCACAGGTAAGAAATTAAACTCAGAGAAGTTATGTAGATTGGTCAAAGTCCATAGCTAGTAAAGGGCGAAGCAAATAATATAGTCCATGCTCTTAACATCTACATGTAAGAGTGTTTCCTACTTTATCCATTTCAGTTTCTGCCCTGCCATTCTTCTAGTTCTTCAAGGCAAAAGCCTAGGCTCCATCTTTGGATCCTTCTTCACCTTCACTATCAACAACTAATTATCTGTCTACTTCTAACTTCATTAGCACTTTCTTAGAGCAAGATGCCATCATCATGGATTTCAGCAATAGCCTTCAAATTCAGTCCTGTTCTCCAATTCAGTCCTGTTCTCTAGACTGAAGACAGTGTAATCTTTCCAAATGCAAACCTACCCGAGCCAACCTACCAACTCCTTAGTTCAACTCTCCCAACTCCTTCATGTTTAATTCTTTAGATCATTTCAGGACCTGAGAAGGGATGTGTGGCTAGAATGGCTGAAGAGAGAAACAGGGGTCAGACCACGCATTTTGACCACATTCAGGATTTTCATCTTTATCCTAAGTACAATGAAAACCCATCATCCTAAGTACAATGAAAATCCATCAAATTATTTTGAGGAAGAAATAATAAGATCAGATTTCTATAGCAAAAAGAAAACTATCTCTGTTCACCACAAAAACCTCAGCACTTAGATCTACATCTGACAAACTGTAGAGATATTATGCAGAAAACATATAAGAAAGGGAAGCAAGAGTAAATGTGGATAGATTACTTAGATGATAGTAATTTACACTAGGGTGATGAGGAGAACTCTACGAAAAACACAGATTTTGATGACAGGAAATGAGAAAGGTTTAGTGACAGACTGTATTTGGCGGGAAAGCTGAAGAGGGAGCTATCAGCAATTCACTGAAAATGAGAACACTGGATGAAGGTCAGGTTTGGTGAGGAAATAAGAGTTTGATTTGGGAGTAGGTTAAGTATGAGATAACTGAGATATCCAACAGGAGTTTTGTTGTTATTGCTGCTGCTGCTGTTGTTGTTGTTTGAGACAGGGCCTCGCTCTGTCACACAGGCTGGAGTGCAGTGGCATGAGCATGGCTTACTGCAGCTTCGACCTCCTGGGCTCAAGGGACCCAATCCTTCCCACCTCAGCCTCCCGAGTAGCTGGGACTACAGGCACACACCATCATGCCAGGCTAATTTTTATATTTTCTTGCAGAGACAGAGTTTTGCCATGTTGCCCAGGATGGTCTCGAACTCCTATGCTCAAGCGATCTCCCTGACTTGGCCTCCCAAAGTGTTGGGATTGCAAGTGCCTAAGAGGAGATTTTAAATAAAGACATGGGTATATAGACCTGGAATACAAAGAAGTCTGGACTGGCAATATAAATTTGCTAACTGAATGTGTGGACTTGGAGTATATACCTAAGAACATAGAGCAGAACACAAAGAAAAGGACCTGGCACTGAGCAGGTCATTTAATAGCTAGACAGGAAAGGATGAACTTGCAGAGGAAAAAGGAAAGGCAAACAGCCAAAGAGGTAAGAAGAAATCAGCAGAATGCCGTGACATGGAAGCCAACAAAAAAGAGTATTTCAAGAAACAAGGTGAGTCAACAATGTGGAATGCTGCTGAAAATTCAAGTAAGATAAACACTGAAAAACATTCATTGGAATTAGTGAAATGGAAGCCATTTGCAATCTTATTTCAAGTTGCAAAAACTCTTTATGGTATTTCTCCTCAGCACATCTACCTGTGCTTTCCCCCTACCTTCCAATAATGAAACAGAATCCCTAAGATTCTCATAATAAGACGTGTATTGGGGGTGGGCTCTGCATGGATCTGGAGAGGATTAAAAAACTAGAACTTAAAGAGGAAAAAATTTGGCAGCTTAGACAAAAGCAGGTAGCCAAGCATCTACAATCAAAGACAAATAGTAAAATGCAGCTCCTGCTGGGGTAAAGCATAAAAATTGTGCCTAAGATAGTCTGAAGAGAGAAGTATATTCACTTTAATTTTTAAACAATGAATAATATGGTCTCATACATTTCATTCTTTGTTTAGCCATAATCACCAGGGATTTTGTCAGATTTCTTGGAGCTTATTTTCTAGCTAATGGATAATATGGTATATTATAGAGTCAGAGAGTACTTTTCTCAAATATATGCAACTAGATGAGAAATAGTACATGACATCAGCAAGCATACTTCCTGGAATTTGAAAGGTACTCAGCATATATTGATTGAATTTGAATCATTATTAAAATTATGAACCAATTTCTGACATGTTATTGATCCATATGCAGTGAAAATGCTGTTACCTTGAATATCATCATTGAATGTGCAATACTGGTTTCGATACTTGTTCAGGAGACGAAACGCATTCACATTGGCAAAGTCTTCAAACTGAATAAGGCAATTCATGCCGTACCTACGGGACACAAACATTCATATTAGAAGAGGCTAATAAAATGCTATTTAAAAATAAACTTTTAAAATTAGCCCATAGAAATAGGAAAACATATTTCCTTTTAAAGGTTCCGTCTTGCCGTTTAAGTATAAATATGTAATATAATATCTGTTCAACAAATATTTACTACATGCTTACTACAGAAAAGGCATTGTGTTGGCACCGTGAAATAACACAAAATGACCAAAATATGTTCCCTTTCCTTAAGGAATTTAACTTTTAGTAGAAACAAAAACGTTTGAAGTAAATAAAAAGTAATATAAAAGTGGTATAAACAAGGAATGATAGGTGTTCCGAGGACAGATATCACTTCTGGCTGTGATCAAAGACAAAGCAACCAATGAACTGAGTTTTAATGAATAGTTATAATTTCAAAAGTAGAGATGTAGGGTTTTATAAGCTGAGGAAAAACAGAAGCAAAATAACTGAGGTGAAAGATAAAAAAGAAAAAGTGTTTAAAAAAATGGTTTAAAAGCCCTGTTTGGCTATAACGTGGTAGTAAATGTAAGGGTGTAGTGAAAGATACAGTCAGATCTTCATTGTGGCCCTTCCATTTCTCCCATCTAGCTTCATCTCTGTATGCAAAGACAGTTATCGAAACAGTGTATTGGCTGTCTCCTTAGACACCCTTGTCCCCTTGTTCTCCATCATTCCGAATCTCCTTTTCTATTAAGATAGCACATAAATCAATGCTATTGAATCTCAGCCAGGATCTCAATAATATCCTGAAATATTTGTTTTCATCTGTTACTGGTCCACAACACAATCTCCAAAGCAGGTGCAATCACAAAATACCTCAGCCCGGGTAATTTATAAACAATAAAAATCTATTGTTCACAGCTCTGGAGGCTGAAAGTCCAAGATTAAGGTGTCAGCAGATTCCGTGTCTGGTGAGGGTCTTTTCCCCATGGATAGTGCCTTTTTGTTACATCTTTGCACGGGAGAAGGGGTAAACATGCTTTCTTCAGTCTCTTTTATAACGGCACTGATAAAACATTCATGAAGGATGGGGCCTCACAGCTTAATCACTTCTCAAAAGGCCCCATCTCTTAATACTTTCACAATGGCAACTACATTTCAACATACACAACTTAACATGTAATAGTAATGATTAGACCACAGCAGCAGCTTTCACAAACCTTCTTTTATTCTCCTGTTCTCCCAAGTCTCTTACCAGTCACTACGTCACTAAGATCAATGCTAGAGAGAATAATATGAACCTTCTCAGTTTCCCCCTACATTAAAATATTTTGTACTTTTATTTCTATTTTCTTCCTCAACTTGTAAGAAGGATTTTTGCTTCCTTGTTTTGAATCTCCCTATGGACCTTACTGAATCAACTGCACCTCTCTATACTAACAACTCCAATTTCTCCTTTACCACTGGTCCTTTCCTGTCCCCAAGCATTTTCAGGACTACCTGATTTTAAAACCACCTCCCTTGACTATGACAAAATCAAAGCTATAGTTATTTATGCTTCTTCCCCCTGATGTCAAACGTCTCATAACAGAGAATGTTAAACCTTGCACTCATTTCTCACTTCTTGTCAACATTCTAATTCAAGGACAGTCTCAAACCACTACCCCCTGATATCACAAGGCAGATGAGTTTTCTCTCTTTTTCTTCTGATACAATAAAAAAAAAAACTCTGTAAGTCTGTTATTTCCCTTCAATTATGTTAATTTATATATAATTATATATTTATCCTGGGTAGACTATCTTTCTAAATTACTATAAAAGTCATAGGTGAAAGCTGGTATTAACTTTTTATTTATTTCTTTTTATTACTAGTGTAGCCTAGCATCTTTATCTGTCTATTCGTCATTTGTAATTCTTTCTGGAAGATTATATGTTTATTTGTTCATTTTTCTATTTTTTTTTCATTTTTATTACTTTATTATGCCCATAAAAGTCTAGAGTCACCAGCTTCTTTTATCCATCTTTGGTGCTAGTATAAAAACACATTTCTTATTTTAGGTTATGTCTTTAAGCAGCATCACTTTCTTTGATTTTCCTTTTCTAATTAAACTGCTATCTTTGAAATTTTTAATTATTATGGATACATAATAGTTGTACATATCTGTTGGGTACATACAACGTTTTGATACATGCATCAATATGTAATGATAAAATCAGGTATATTTCAAAATAGCTGGAAGAGAAGATTCAGAATGTTCCCAACATAAAGAAATGATAAATGTTTGAAGGAGATCCTAAATCCCCTCATTTTTCTATTGTTATAGTTGTTTTCTTTGTTATTTCATAAGAATAGTACCTTCTGTTACATATGTTGCAAATAGTTTTTCTAATGTAGTACACTGTACCATTAATTATTTAGACAGTGTTCCTAATTGTTTTCACAAATAAATTTTAAATTTTTATGTGGTTAGATCTTTCAATCCTTTTATTTATGGTTTCTCCTTTGATGAAATGCTTACAACAGTCTCCTCTATATATTTATTTAACTATTAATGAAAAATTTCTTCTAATTATATTATAGATTTAGAAAATAGTTAACCTCTAAATCTGGTATACTTTTACCGTTAGGCCATAGATTTTAAAAAAGCAAGCTATACCAAAATTTCTGTTTTCTGAATAATCACCCAACTATGCCAGCACCATTTATTTAACAGTCCATCCTTCTCCTCATCACCTATATTTAGATACTATATTCTGATACATAGTAAGGTCTGTTTCTGTGCTTTCTTATTTTATTCTACTACTGCTGATGACAACAAATACGTTTTCCTTTATAAGATATTACACATGCACACTTACTCTTCACAACCACTCTATGAAGTAAATACTATTATTATTCTCATCTAATAGATGAGGACACAGGCACGCAGGTATACCACATCGGTACTGCTCAGTAATATAGTCTAACAGTAATGATTATCTTACTAATCTATAAAGAAAAGAATACCTCCCTGCTTTAATTCCTACAGCTTTATAGTAATTTTAATATTTAGTACTGTTAACCATCTTTTATCCTTCTTTTTAAGTATTTACTTGGCTGTCATACTGGTTTACAAGCTGTCATACTGGTTTGCAAGTATTTACTTGGCTGTCATACTGGTTTATTACAGAGCATAGGCTCTGGAGTCAGAGCTCCTGGGATCAGTCTAGTCCTCCTTACATACTGTGCATCCTTAACTGTTCTGTGCCTCTGATTTCCCATCAGAAAAATGAGAATAGTAACAGCCTATTACCATAAGGTTGTTAGCAGGATTAAATAAAGTGATAAACGTTAAGTGCTCAATGCAATGACTGGCACATAAGTACTCTATAGCCATTTAAAAATCTACAGATTTTTAAAAATTATTTAATAGTAACAATAGAAGCCACAGGCAGGTAAATAATATACTCAAAGGGCTAAGAGAAAATAACTGTCATCCTAGACAAAGCTATTCTTCAACAGTAAGGTTTATGTAGCCAGCAAACATGTGAAAAAAAAGCTCTTCATCACTGGTCATTAGAGAAATGTAAATCAAAACCACAATGAGATACCATCTCACGCCAGTTAGAATGGTGATCATTAAAAAGTCAGGAAACAACAAGACGCTGCAAAGGATGTGGAGAAATAGGAACGCTTTCACACTGTTAGTGGGAGTGTAAATTAGTTCAACCATTGTGGAAGACAGTGTGACGATTCCTCAAGGATTTAGAATCAGAAATCCCATTTGACCCAGCAATCCCACTACTGGGTATATACCCAAAGGATTATAAACCATTCTACTATAAAGACACATGCACATGTATGTTTATTCTAGGACTATTCACAATAGCAAAGACTTGGAACCAACCCAAATGCCCATCAATGATAGACTGGATAAAGAAAATGTGGCACATATACACCATGGAATAGTATGCAGCCATAAAAAGGATGAGTTCATACCCTTTGCCAGGACATGGATGAAGCTGGAAACCATCATTCTCAGCAAACTATTACAAGAAGAGAAAACCAAACACAGCATGTTCTCACTCATAAGTAGGAGTTAACAATGAGAACACATGGACACAGGGAGGGGAACACCACACACCAGGACCTGTTTGGGGGTGGGGGCTAGGGGAGGGATAACATTAGGAGAAATACCTAATGTAGACGATGGGTTTATGGGTGCAGCAAACCACCGTGGCACATGTATACCTATGTAACAAACCTGCACATTTGGCACATGCACCCCAGAACTTAAAGTATAATAATAAAAATAAATTAAAAATAAATAAAATTAAGACATCTTTAGATAAATAAAAATCAAAATACTTTTACTAAAGAAACTTCTAAAAGGCATATTTCAGAAAGAATAAAAATAATACCAGTTTAAAAGGTCTATGTATAATAAAATGGTAAAATGTTGGGAAATACAAGCAATTTTTATCCATATAAAATAGTAATAAAAATAAGTCTACTTCTAGCATGACACAGTGAAGAGGTTGGCAAATTCATTCCCCAAACAGCAACAATATTGCAAGACAAAATATTTAAAACAACCATTTCAGTGCTCTGTAAATCACTAAAGACAAAAAGAAGCAACAATTTAAAAGTAAAATGGGATAGTGGGGTCAATTCTTGAAGGGAACATAAACTTTTTCTACTCCTTTTATGTATGATGCCATTCATCCTCCAAGGAAACACTTTAGCTAGCTGTATTACTAATTATAAAAATGTTACTAGAAACTGGTAAAACCATTTCTATGGTTACAAATTACATTTTTATAACCTAGCAGAGAAGCAAACTTCGTCATAGCAACTAAGTACCCCAAACACAAATATCAGTCAATAATCATGAGGTGCTTGTAATGGCTCCTCCTACTTCTCTGGTTTCCAAGCAGACCTTTAGAAAGTAAAGACTGTGAGCCTTTGGAGAGTGCTGTATGGTTTGCTCCTAATGTATCATATACCGATGGTCTAGAAACATTGGATGAGCTGTCATTATGTTCAGAAGGAGCAGAACCCT